GGACCACTAGAAGCTCAGCCTCAAGCTTAGTTGCCCTCTCATGGGCTGTAGTAAGCTCACCATCCCTGAGTGCGTCCCTCGCACGGGTCCCCAAAAGCTCAGACTCAAAATTAGAAGCCCTTTCATGAGTCCACAAGCTCACCCTCCCGGAGCGCGTCCCTCTCACGGGTGGCCAAAAGCTCAGAATCAAGCTTGACAATCCTCCCCTGAGCAGTAAGAAGCTCCTTTTGCACAAGGCTTAGATCCAGCTTCAGCTTGTCATGATTATAGGGCCTCGAAAGCAAGAAGATAGAGGAAGTCGAAACCTAAAAAAAAAAAGGAGATAAGAGGTTGAGAAAAGTCAAGAATACAGGAAAGAAACGATTGAAGAAAGGGGAATAGTGGACTCTCACCTGAGCCAGGCCTTCCAAATACTTATCGATGATCCTATCGGTACCCGAAGCGCTAAGCTGAGAAACTTCGGGTCCAAACACAAACCTCCCAAGTCTTGCCCTGATGGCTGGCGGATTCTCCATCATAGGACCAGCCCAAATCGACACTCCTGTAGAAGTTCTCGGACGAGGAGGGGACAAAGGAGAGGCAACACGAGGAGAGGATGAAGGTGGGGAGGATGTGCCCGGCAAGGAAGATTCTGGAGTAGCAACTGGAGAAGTCACCAGCTGAGGAGGAACCACCGTAGGAGTCACTTAGGGGGCATCATCCGTCCTTGCCACATTGGAAGAGGGAGGGCTCCTATTAGAGAAACGGGACACCACCACCCTCTTACTTGCTGCAAGAGCAGAGAAGTGTCAGGTAAATGAAAATACCGAGGGAAGAAGAGAATTAAAAGAGAAAACTAGCTCACCCCTTTTCTTCGAAGAGGAACCACCAGATTTCTGAGATGGAGCAACAACGCTAGTATACTTGGACATGAGAACTCCTAAATCTTTGCAAGGGCAAGCCTTGACAGCCTCCAACTTCCACTCCTGGTCTCGAGAAAGCACAGATGTATCTGCATGGAAATGGTGAGCACACATGTATACATATATGTAAAAAAAAAAAAATGTGCAACGTACTGGGTTTTCTAGCAGCACCCCAATGTGTTGGCACCAAAGCTCTGTCGGCTTCTGTAGCCCACTCTCCACCAACAAAGAAGAAACAAGATTTTCAGCCGCCATAATTAAAGCGCGTTCCCGTAAGCACTGTACCACTTCTCGTGGTAAAATAGTACCACCCCCTATTTGGTGTAGGGGTTTCGCTCAAGTTATATGCCGCATGGAACTCCACAGGAGAAGCATCCCCATGGTGCACTTTTCTCCACAATGCAAGAAAGTCCAGTAGAACTCTCCAACCATTAGGCGCTAGTCGTTCTAGATTCAATGAAAAGTAATGCAAAACGCGACAAATGAAAGAGGACATGGGGAATCTGAACCCAGCCTCAAGCATCTCCTCGTAAACAACAATATCACCAGAAGAGTCATCGCAAGCAAGCTCGCCCGACTCAGCCCGACGGCACAGCACGGTCGGAGGAATGCAATAAATAAAAACAAGCCGCGAGATATCTTCATCTAAACGAAACAGACTGGAAATGGTACTCACCTTAGACCCATCATCATCGAGTCCCACTTTACCTTTGCGTTTCTTTTTCCGAGGCCGTATGAAGTAGTCTAAACCACCATCTGGGAGGTCTTGAGAAACTTGAACTGGAGGAGTCACAGTAGGGTCTTGATCGTCAAAAGCAGCACCCAGAACTTCCTTACTGCTTGCAATGTCTAGCCCAACTCTTGGAGGGGTGTCTGACTGCCTTTGCTCGCCGAAACGAAGTTGCCCAGTAGCTGGAAGTGTGCCTGACCTTTCAAAATTGCACAAAGTAAAATTTTCGACACCAAAATCAGCGCCTACGATGCCCGAATTAGCGCCTGGAGTGGCGCTCGGACCTGCCCATGCACCCAGGCTGCTGCCCAGCTCCTGTACTGCACTCCTGCTGGCCTGGACAACTCTTTTTCCAGCTTGCACAGCGCTGCCCAACCCACCAAGCGTCACGCACGCGCTGTCCAGTCGCGCGTTTGCGTTGTCCAGACGATCCAGGCTGCTGCCCAGCTCCTGTACTGCACTTCTGCTGGCCTGGACAGCTCTTTTTCCAGCTTGCACAGCGCTGCCCAGCCCACCAAGCGTCACGCGCGCGCTGCCCAGTTCGCCAGACTACGCGCGCGCTCTGCCCAGTCGCGCGTTTGCGCTGTCCAGACGATCCAGGCTGCTGCCCAACTCCCGTACTGCACTCCTGCTGGCCTGAACTGCTCCTTCTCCAACCTGCACAGCGCTGTCCATCCCCCCAGGAGTCATGCGCGCGTTGCCCAGTCGCAGGTTTGCGTTGTCCAGTCCGCCAGGCGCGCCGTCCAAACCTCATTGCGCGCTGCCCAACCTTCCTGCACTGCCCAGATCGCCTCTCTGCGCGCTGGTTCGAGCAAAAGTGTTGTCCAACGGAGAGGTTTGCGAACCCAAGCTGTCCAACCCACCACTTTCGGCACCCAAGCTGTCCAGTCCACCATTTTCGGCACCAAGGCTGTCCAAGACAGCACCCGAATGCTCAAAACCAGCTTCCAAGCTTCCTAAAATGGTGCTTACCTCCTCCCTTTCTTCAATCTCCACCACTCCCTCTTCAATCGGCATTGCCTACTTGAGAAACTCTACTAAAAAAAGGAAGAAATCTCACTCTTGGAAGGATTCAAGGAGAACACATTTTAGTTTCAACAAAATGGGTAGGACTTGAGTTCTCAAGGTTTTCAAGAAGTGGGTGCTCAACCTTAAAAGTGAGTGAAATGGGTAGCATGAAAAAAAGACTATATTTATAGTCTAGGGTTTTTCAAAAGAAGGAAAAAGTCCAAATTGAAAATTATGGGTCTTCTTCAAAATAAAGTGGGAAAAACTTGAAGTTTGCACCAAATAAAAATAAAAATAAATAAATACAATTGAAGAGTCAATACCTCATTCTCCAAGTTTTACTTGAACACGGGGCATTGGGGGGCAAATGATGGGTCAAGCCCAAATAGCCCAATTGAAGAGCCCAACCTCATGAAAAATCCACCAAGCCCAATATAGTCCAAGGCCAGTTAGACTCTTTGCTTAGCCACGTCATTAAGGGGGAGAGCATGGGAAGTTCTATCTGCACCACCGAAGGAAATGGTCCACTCTCACGTCATCTTTGACCGCATCTCATGGAGAGCTCCCCAACCTCCTCGCCCGTTGAGAAGAAATCGTGAGCTCCACCAAAATAATCTTTTAGTTGCTGTAAAGTAGCCCCAATCTGTTAGGGGACTACTATAAATTGCATGCCCCATGAACACTTGAGGGGCATGAGACTGATTGTTTGGCACCACACCTTCTCTGACTCTCTCTTCTCCCTCGAAGCTTGTATTCTCTGTCTCCACACCCTTAAATTAATAAAATACCCGACAACGAAAGTCATTCAAGAGTGGACGTAGGTCGAGTTGACCGAATTACTATAAATCTTGTCTCCTCCAATTCTCTCTTTACTTTTACTGCATTTATTATTTACACTTGACAGGTGGTGTTCAAAACCATATTTGTGCATCATCAATTATAATAAACTATAAATATTTATAATTAATCATTATTATTTTATAATAATGTTAAGATATTGATCTTAATATTTTTATCATTGATAGCAATATGATACCAATTTTTTTTTCTCTCTATCAACTACTGAGCATAAATGATTGATCAGATGAAGATAGTAATAATAAGAGAATGTCAAAGTATCATGAATTTAGGGTTGAGATTGAAGAGGTTAGCTTGGAAAATCATCGATTTGACTTCCTCACATGGGTTGAAGAGGTTTTCGTCAATTTTTTGGACGATAGTGAGGAGTAAGGACAAAAATCAATTAATGTTTTAACATAGAAAATGAAATTGATGCAGATAGAACTTCAGAGATAAAAAGTGTAATAAGTGACAAACCTAATGATCTAACTATGCAATTTATCCTAAAAAATTAAAAACAAAGTTGATAATCTAAAGCAGAAAGATTACCTTAGACTATTACTTAAATACTGTTATTTTTAAATAAAAATATCGATCTATTATACTTTTCAACTTATTTATTGATCTATTGCAACTTTTGAATGACTTTTTCTCTTTTAGTTGTATCACTTGTTGAAAGTGAAATTAATAATTTTGCTTTCAAAAATTATAATATCTTAATAAATAAATAAAAAGTACAATATATCGATATCTATATAATAAAGTAACTTATAATTCAAATCTCAAAAGATAAATAAAATGACTTTTGTTATTCGCGGTTAAAATTACTTTAAAGTTAATCTAACGACTAATATTAATACCTTAAATTTAATAGGAAAAATATGTCCCTAAGGGTGTGTTTGGAGTGATTTTTTAAAAATACTTTTAGAAATTATTTATCATAAATATTTTTAAAAAAATAGTGTTTAAAACTGTCCCACCACCACTGTCGTCATCGTCGTCGCCGCCGTTTCCCCCACCACCGCCATCTCCACCACCACCACCACCATCGCCGTCGTCGTCACCATCACTGCCGCCGTCACCCCTCTCTCACCACCACTGCCATTACCATTATCACCGTCATTGCACGCCCACCACCCCCCACCCTGTCACCGTTGTTGTCGCCACGACCACCACCACCATTGTCATCGCCTTCGTCACCACCACGGTCGTTATCATTCATCACAACTATCACCATCTCCTTACTGTCGTCCACCACCTCTTACTTTCACTACAAATCGATGCTTAAATTCCTTTAACTCTTTTTTACGTTTATGATTTAATTTTAAATATTAATATAATATGTTTATTATTTATCATATTTTATTACTATGTGTTTTCGGGCATTGATAATAATTAATTTTTATATAAAAATAATATTATTTTAATAATAAATTCCAACTTTGTCGCCGTCGGAGAAAAATATATTATCTGGTTTCGTACTTTGACTTATGAGTTGTTCGGAGTCTCTCTCCTTTCTCCGCCGTTTAAAATTTCTCAAACTTTGAAACTCACCTTCAAAGTACTATCGCCACTTTGCCAAAACGTCAAAAGATTACCCATCAATGGCCACACAGTTGGACTTTTCTCTCCCCTTCTGTCCACAGTAAAGTATCACTTCTCCAACCCAACTAGCTTCCAAACGAGAACCATCCATGATTTCGGAAACAACAAGCACAACCCAGAATTCTGGGGTTCACGATGAAGAAAAAGTTGCAGTGGCGGCAGTAAGAGAAGATTCACGTGGCCATGAAGAAACTAGAGGGACATGGAAACACGCCGCTTTCCACGTCGCGACGACCATTGCCACCCCGGCCGCTTCCCTTCGCCGTTGCTTCGCTCGGTTGGCCTCTCGGTAATAACTGTCAAAAGCTGGTGTCCGTGTTAAAATTTGATATTCTATCGGAAATTAACGGAGCTGAATTTTGAGTTAATTAAAAAATTATTATCCATTTGTTTAGAATATGAAGTAAGGTTTCGAGCTCGAATAATTTGATTATTTTATATATAAATAAATTGAATTTTGTAATTTTTAAGCTAAATTTTATCGGAGACCTAATAACTCATCTCGATTAACACTCTACCCAACATTTATATGAATTGAGTTTAGGAGATTTATTTATTTACAGTAATATTATCTTGACCAAATTTTAGGGCCAAATTTAGAGTTTAAATGGCGTGGTAGTTGACATAGACTTCTTTATTTGGTACCATGTCATTTGGGTCCTAATAAAGTCTCCAAATAATATATTATCATGTCATTTGAGCTCCATATTTAATTTTAAAATTTGGTCAACATAGCATTACTCATTTATTTAACGGGTTTAACCGATAATTGATTATAACTAAGCTACACCCAAATTAGAAATTTTGATTTCATACAGTAGAATTTTGGCAGTAGTCTTTACAGTAGAATTTTGGCAGTAGTCTTTACAGTAGAATTTTGGCAGTAGTCTTTACTTTTTGTTAATTTCTTGATAGAGCTTATGGTACTGCTCAATCGGGGGCTTTTTGAATTGGGTTTTGTGACAATTTTGATTTCATGTAGCAAATAATGGTTTGAATGATTTGCAATTCAGGGGTCATTAGTTTGGTGGGTGCTACATTGGCCACATGGTATTCTAGTCTATTGATTGCGTCCTTGTGGGGATGGAATGGCAAGAAGCAGAAAACATATCGACATCTTGCACAGAGTATATATGGTTGGTCACCTCTTTTCGACCTGTGTATTGTAGTATTACTTTACATGTTTGCTCTAGAATATTATCGTCCTTGGTCGCATAGTTTGACCTTGGTTAATGCTCAATTGAAATCATGCTTTGTTGAATCATTTTCAAGACCTAGACATGTTATCGTTGTGTTTGTGGCTACATACATGTTTATGAATTTGTGTTATGTTACGGGTTAGATTGTTCGGTTTTCTATTTACTAAATTGTTATTAGATTTGAGTTAGTTTGGTGCGATACATTGTCTAGCAGTTGAGAGAAAATGGATCCATGCAATGGATGTTGATTGCTATAATACATCGTCCCAAAACTTTTTCAGTTCTTCCTGTACTTAGAATTGAATACCAAAGTGCATAATCTGCTGTTGTTGCACCTATTTTTATCTTGACTAGAGTCATTTTTTTCCTAATCTTGAAGGATCCTGGGGTTACTGGTCGATTGCATTTTTTCAGCAGGTTGCTTCCTTGGGTAATAACATTGCCATTCATATTGCTGCTGGAAGGAGCCTTAAGGTTAGTCATTTTGACGAGTACTTATGCCTATTTGGTTTGCATCTTGGAAACTATTTTTATGTTTTCGGAAATAATTTCTGGAAGAAAAGTTGTTTGATTAGCTATTTTTTTTTTTTTTTTTTTTTTTGAAAGCTAAGAATAAAAAGTGGATAAATATAGATAACAAGTTATGACTGTTTTATGTGTTTTTAAAATAATCTTTACAGAATTTAGAAAACACCACCGCAATTCCACCACCAACGCCACATTTTCACCACCACTACATTTCTTTTTTTATTGTTTTATGGGCTATTGTCCAAACGAGTTTTACTGTTTTCTATTCTATAGGACTGTTTTTAAAATTATATAACCAAACAAGTTCTACGACACAAAAAACACAAAAATATATTTTTGTAAAAATTTTCACAAAAACTATTTTCAAAAATCATTTAGGGTCTTAGTGGTTCAAGCCACTATTACAAGTATTTTGTTTTTGATTCTGAATTTGTTTTCGGTTTTCATACCATATGTGCAGGCCGTGTACAAATACTATCACGAAGATGGTACCTTAACCTTGCAGCATTTCATTATGTTCTTTGGGGCTTTTGAACTTTTTCTCTCTCAGCTACCAGATATCCATTCACTGAGATGGGTAAATGGGGTCTGCACTCTCAGCACAATTGGTTTCGCTGGTACAACCATTGGTGTGACAATTTATAATGGTAGGTTTTGAACATATATTTATTTATTTCGTGTCTCCGTGTGTTTGTCCGTCTGTTTACCTCATGTCACGATTGAGTATATTCAGGTTCCACAAGGTAATGACTTTCCTTTTAAGACTTAAAACTCTTTTATAGGAACAAAGATTGATAGAAGATCAGTTAGCCACAGTCTGCAAGGAAGCTCCTCTACAAAGATATTTAAAGCTTTTAATGCTCTTGGTGCAATTGCCTTTTCATTCGGAGATGCAATGCTTCCTGAAATTCAGGTAATTTACAATCAACCTTATGTTGTTTTATACTTCAACAGTGAAGATTCTGAGTTGTTGGCAATTTGTATGAGATTTTTGTGTAAAATTGATGTCTTTAACTTTGAATGGCACTGAGCGGCTGGAGATTGATTGAAAAAGCAACCTAGCCACCCCTCCCCCCTTACACTACCTAGCCGGCTAGCCGCCTACCTACTCATGTTCGTAGCTCAATTGGAGGTCAAGAATGTGGTCCGACAGAAAAACAGAAATTGTCCGTATCAAGTGATACAATACGTGAATTGCTGAATAGTTCTTAGCTGACGAGCCAACACAAACCAAAAACTTGGACAACTAACCACAATATATATGGCTATTGTCTTGTCAGAGTACTGTAAGGGAACCTGCAAAGAAGAACATGTACAAAGGTGTATCAACAGCATACACCATCATTGTTTTCACTTATTGGCAATTGGCTTTCTGTGGCTACTGGGCGTTTGGATCAGGAGTGCAGCCTTATATCGTCGATTCTCTTACTACTCCGGCATGGACGACTGTTATGGCTTATCTTTTTGCAGTGATTCAAATATCAGGATGCTTTCAGGTAGTTATTCAACAACCTTCATGGTCAACAAGCTTTTACCAGTTCATATTACCGATAAATTTCCCAATTTGGAAAAAAACGACCTATCTAACCGTGACATTTTTTTTTTGCGTAGATTTATTGCAGGCCTACATATGCTTATTTTGAAGAAAAAATGTTATCCCGCAAAACAAATGCTCATTTTGACCTACGAAATCGAGTCATTCGTATGGTTTTTACAACTGTTTACATGAGTCTTATAACACTTGTGGCTGCAGCCATGCCATTCTTTGGGGATTTTGTTTCCATTTGTGGAGCAATTGGGTTCACTCCACTGGACTTTGTATTCCCTGTTTTAGCCTATCTGAAAGCTGGGAGAATCCCCCAAAATACAAAGCTTCGCCTTCCACTGTTGGTCCTTAATTTCGCGATTGCTATCTGGTTCTCGGTGGTCGGAGTTTTGGGTTGCATTGGAGCAGTTAGGTTCATTGTAGAAGATATTAAGAATTACAAGTTCTTTCATGATATGTAATAACATCAGTGATTATAGTCGATATATCGAATCCCCCCCATAGCTGCATCAATTGTTGTTTCTTAGTGAAGGGATATGTTATTTTTGTAAGTGATTACCTGTGAGAAATCATAATAGTGCACAGTAATCAAGTAAAAGGATAAATTGCACCCATGCACATAAGAGCTTGGGATCTCAACAATCAATTTAATGACAAACCAGAGACAATACAGCACAACACACTACAGCACAGAGAGCAACTCAGTAATTTAATTTGTAAGGAAATGCGATACCACAACAATATGCTATTGTGAGGCATGCTCGATCAGGAACTATGCTATTGTGAGGCATGCTCGATCAGGAACTATGTTAACTTTGTTTGAGATCTAAAGACAGCATAGACTAATCAAGATATGTGAGCCTAAAAGAATGGAAGAAGTACGTTCATGGGGCTGGAACCTTGCGGGCATACGCCAATACCATCACAAAATCCTTTGCTGATGAGCTGATTGTTACTGGCACTCTATGTGGAGTCGAAGCAGATTCTAGCCACAAATCAACTAGATTATTCAGTTGCAGCGTGGGCACCACCGTCTCACCCATACATTTAATTTCAATCTGCATGACAATCAACAATTAGCAAAAAGTAGAAGCAAAAACGCTACACTGTCTATGGTCCACAGCCAGCAATCACTGAAAGACCAATGAAGTCATAGAATTTCTGAGTTCTTGTCACTATATGGAGTTCACATTCCGTCCTGTCATAAATTGAACGCATGGAGAAACAGGCTTTTTTTTTTGTAAAGATAATTATATCTGCCTCCTCCAAGGTTTGTCCAAACAACAAGAACAATCCTCTCACCTCATCTTCACTTGTAAGATCTAGTTTCCTCATCACGTACTTTTGGATGAAAGAGACAGGCATACTCCCATCCCTGTAGCAGAATGAGACAATATGAATGAAAGCTTCTCCTGGAATCCAAAGGATTTTCCTTTGTAAATGGATAAAAAAAAATATTGAACCATTTCAAATTCTTAAATAACCAAACTTCTAGTGACTCTTAGGCTCTCATCACAAACACTGATCTAAACATTTCAGCTTGCTCTCTCTGATAACATCATTTAAGAACAGTGTATTCCAACTATTGATCTGCTTGCACATGTCTAAGGGCCACCAAATAGCAACTCATTCCAACTAGCCATGAGGAGTGGGATAGATGAAACACATTGTATAACTAAACGACTTTGACCATCGTCGCATCGACACTGCAGATTTTCACTCCCAAGTTAAAAGTTTTTTGCCTCACAGTCACAACACCTAAAATCCAGTGAAAGTGTTGAATTGGCAGATGCAATGGAGATTGGAGAGCTAACCCTTCTGCTCAGATTTCAGCCTACATATTAGACCTACTGATTGGCCATAGGAAGTCTACACTTAGCACACTTATACCGTACAAAAGTTATACAAAATAATGCCACAAAAATAGCTTCATTGACGGATAAATATAATGCAGGCTGTTATAAGCTATTTAACAAAACTTCTTAAACTGAAATGCAGAAACCAACAAAACTACAAACAAAGAAAGCTTCAAAAGCAAACATGATGACCAGCACCTACTAGAATGATATGGAGATATTAGTAACTCACTTTATTCTCAAGTAGCTTGCAGATATCTGGGGCAACGGTGCACTTCCTTCCCTGAAACAATGGTGTCAAATGTAAGAAAATGAAGAGGCAGAAGAAATAAATAACCAGAATAAGTCTTCTAAGGGGATTTAATTTATCAAAGTCTAAAACCCAAGTAGATTCTCACTGTTCTTTGGAAGCCACTAACGAGAACCAAATTGGATAGAGTCTTCTTTCGTGTTTAGCACTGGCAGCATCAAGCGCATCTTGGGGTGAAACACCTGACTCCCCAAAACAAGCTGCCTTTTTCTGGCGAATCCTTCGGAACTTTATATGTTTTTCTGATTCTGGAGGGGTAGGATCAGTGATTACCTTATCATCTTGAACTTTCAATTTTTGTCCATGTCCCTTAACTTTGGTTTTACATACGTGTCCTTCGCTGTCAAGGGCATGTAGAGGTTCTAATTTAGCAGCAGATCCTTGTGAAGTGAACTTTGAGGACTTACTCCTATTTGCAACTTCCACCAAACAAGTTAAAGGTTTCCACAGGTCAGCTTTCCCTTCCCATGCTACTTCACAATTCCCTGTCGCCTTATCAGGTACAGGGTGGCTAGAGGGCTCAGCAGTAAAGGAATTCTGCGCCAATTATGTCATTAAGTACTAAAAGTAGCAGTTCTTGTAAACATATGCACAAGGTTGACAGTAAACATGAGCATAAAAAGCCTAAATATGTAGTGACCATTGCAAGATACAAGTGAACATGTCCCTTACCTGCCTTGTATTCTGAGTGAACTTGTTCAGAGTCTCAGGTGAGCTAGAGCTCTCTGGATGATCTTCCACAGAATTTTCCTCTTTCTTAACCAGTTTCTCAATGGAAAACCTGGTACATCTTAAAGCTTTCCTGGCAATAGATTTTGATCTTCGTTTGGTCAAGGCAGACTTGGATGATACTCTAGGGGTGCTAACCACCAAAGATGAGAGTGATCTCTCCTTTCTTTTCACCGGTAATGAAACAGAAGGCACAACTTCAGGTGCCTCCACCTTTCTTCTTTTGAAAGGGAAGATCTTGGCTCTAACATCTTGCAAGTTGTTGTCTGGCCTGATAATAAAAATCAACAGACATGCTTCTCAACAAAACACCATGTCTTTCCAAATGTACAGTTTTTTTACATGAAGTATGTCAAAGAAGCACGTTTCATAGTTGCAAATGAGGTATACTGGCATATAAAGTAATTGCATAGTGAACTCTGAAATCCATTTTGCATATGAGTTCTAGATCAGATAACAAGGTATATTATGGAGTTCAATGATGACTGCAGGCCCATGCACATGCATGTGATGTGCAAGTTCCTGCAAGTGTGGAAGCAGCAGCATGATACAATTTAAGTGATCTGAGAAGAAGATTAAATCAACCTCAAGATCCCAGCTACAAACTATGACTCTAGTGTTCCAAAAACTACCAACGGGCCTTTGGTCTAATGGTATTCCTTACCCTGTGAAGACTTTGCTTTCTCGAGGTCAAGGGTTCAAGTCCCCCCTCCCCCCCACACACAAAAAACAAAAAAATAGTGTTCCAAAAACTAGAACAGAGATGGAAACACATAAGAAGCACCAACAACCTAACACTTTATATGAGGCTCCCCACTCCCATGAACTATTGGTAAATAGGTGTAATGAGCGGATCTCCAATATGACATGGGACAATTAAGACACACATGAGTATGTTTTTTCTGTCTCGTATACCTGCCTATGCTATTGACAACAGGAAAATAAAGTAATTAAGCAGAAAAACTGCACATAGGTTTTGAACTCAATAGATCTCACACTTATAGGCTTCAATATACGTCATACTTTCCCCACATTTTCTTATGGTCACCAACTGCAGTTCTCAAAATACATAGGACTGACCCTGCGTTCATAAAATTATCCAGCCTCAACCAGAAAGATAGAAAGAAAAGGAGGAAAAAGGTTGGAGACCAATGGCTTCAATATTTGCATGAGAGTGTGTGAACCAACTTGTCCACTACTTGCATCCGTTCTGCTCAACCAAGAGCATATGTAGAGAAGCAAAAAAATAAAAATAAATACAAGTGTACAATTTCCCAGGAAAGTGATGTCTTTGACTTTGTTTTCCGCAAATTCTAGACTGCTATCATCTGATTTTCTTCAGGTGATATATTTCTGGGTAGAATGATCATCGAACTGGATATTGACGTCCCTAGTCTAAGACATTAGGATCAGTTAAGAAGCCATTGTTCACATTAGTCAACAACTTTGAATGCTTTTATGATTCATTTCACTCACTAATTAGGAGATGTACATAACTACAACCACTATTCTATTTCCTTACGAAATGTTACTGAGTACTAAACATATGACATGGGGTACCAAATAAATCCTTTAGACAATATTTCAGAAGTGCACATGCATGTACTTGGATCACTTTACAACTCATACACCATAAAAAGAAGTACTACTTGAAGGTACCAATGGTATAGAGTACAATTTAACCGATGTATTGTACTTCCATCTCATCATGCACACGACTCCAAGCAGAGTAGGGATGCATCCCCAACACGTGCCATGTCATGCTCCATCAAATAGGAGACAACCTAAAAAGACACTTTTGCATGGTATAGAAATGTGTGTATGAGTGTTTGAGAGAGAGAGTGGGAGAAAGAGAGAGTAATGCAACACTTCAGAAGAAATATCTGACCTCAACTTCTCCAATGGTACACAGCCTAAATCAATATTGCATATTGGACAGCATTCCACTTCCTCATCGGAGATCTTCTTATATATGCACTGCCAGCAAACTGGTGAAGTTCAAAACACAAACAATGAGTAATTTGCCATTCACTGTATAAAGCAATGCCTCAGCCAAAAATATAGAAGTGATAACAGTGTTGTGTTTTACGAGCATTGCAAAGTAAATTTGGAGTGTGAAAATTTATTACGTACATGCTCTATTGTTTTACGAGAAGAGGAAGAATAGAAAGGGAAAGGGAGAGAGGAGAGTGGGTAGGACAGTAAGACATCTACCATAAGCACTGGAAGGTAATTCAGAGTTTTTAGTGTCAACAATCTCAAGCAGAAATTGAAACAAACAGAAACCAGAAGCAATGAGCCGCTAGAGACTAAACAAACAGAGGTGAAAATAATATCTTGGAAGAAAAAAAGGGTGACGAATTAAACCAAGTTTTTCATCTTCTAAAGACTGTGCTAACTGCAACTCTGTTTTGAAGTATCAAGCATGAAAAGAAGAATGGATTCTGAACACGTGTTTTATTGATAACCCAAATCACCCTGGTTAGAATGAAAAATATCGTAACTTGACAGATACTTCACATCAATAGCCCAACTTATATACATCGCCACTCAATAAACACAAAATTCCATTTGCCTGATCATATCAATGAAACAGGAAGCGCTTATGGAATTCACTCAACAAATTCATCTCACGCTGATCAATCTAGCTGCCTAAACTGACCCTGCCAATATTCATATCTTTAACAAGAGACAAACAAGCATTCGGTCTAACAGGATCAATGACTAAAGACCCATACACAAATGTGAAAAACCCAGATCACGATAAGGCAATCCAACCATCCAAGTCAAACCCAGATGGAAAGGCGACAAATAGACACAAGTCTCACAACCCAGATCATAAAAGGTACAAAATACACCAGAAAATACCACAAACTATCCATAATTTGAAGAAAGACCATTGAAATAATGTCCAAAAAAAGAAGACTAAATCATGAAGAAAGAGACTCACACGTATGAAGACACTCCGAAATAGTCGTGGCATCTCTGAAAAGCTTGTTGCAGAGCGGGCATGTCATGCATGCCGCAATTGTCTCTGTCCTAACTTTCACCACCTGATTCGACATCTCTGTATCCTGTCCCTCAACTCCCAAGTCCCAACGTCTATCAGAGCTCAACTCACGTACCTAAACGGTGCATGTTAGCAGCACCAGACAACACATGAAATTTACGTCCATTCTCCTACACATATCTGCATTAGCCACAAGACAAGATCCACAGCAATCAGAGAAGAATCTACCAAATATAACACAGAAAATTAGAAAGATACATGTGAATGGAGATGACAGAGAACCGTGAATCTATGAAGAACGGATTGGGGTATTGAGGTGAGATTGAGAAGTGGATATGAGTGATTTGTGAAGAACTGAGATGGGTTGGTGATGGATTTGGACAACGAGTGTCGAGGATGATCAATTGGGGATTGGGAGACGAAATCGAGAGAGAGAGAGAGGCCCGTTTCATGACAGCATGAACCAAACAGTTCTAGCTTCTATTCTATATTATTTTTGTATAAAAAAAAAATTGGGAGTTCATGGAAAGTGAGGTGTAGGGATAAAGTGCGCCGGTGGCGATTTAGGGGTAACCCTGCGCACCGTGTTCCATGCGTGCGACGGCGTGTTTTGGGGGCTTGGGGAGTAATTGCGTGTGCTGCCGCATATTAGCCTTGCCTGCATGCGGCAAGGAAAATTATGAGCATATTAATGACTAACCTACAATATTAATGTTAAATCAAAATTGAAATAAACAGGTTTTCTTTACAAAAAAAAAAAGTAATGTTACGTGATTTTAAAAAATAGATTTAATAATTTCAATCATTAAATAAATAGTAAATTTTAATAAATATTGGGATTCATAGTAAAATCAATGATTACAATTATCAAGTCTAATTTTTAAGTTTATATAACATTGTTCTTACGAAAATTATGAACAATTTTTTTTCTTTTTTTTTTTGTGAGACAATACTACAAGGACAAACACAATGGATTTCGAATTTGCGATATTAAGGTCCAGCAGTAAGAACGGTGGGCATTAGACCAACATATAAATGCACTAGTTATTATACTTGCTCTTTTGACTATACTAATTAGAAGTTCAATACGATCTTTTGCTTCTTTCTTGAGATATTATATTTATTTTAGTATTTTTGTAAATCTCTTTCATGTTTTGTTTTAAAAGAGGGATCCAGATCCTCTCTATTACTCATTTCATTTAATTTCATTCAATACACAACTAGATGAATAAAACGTGTCTAAACTAACGGATTAGATTTCTACAAAGCAACTATATTGTTTAAACCATAGTTAATTGTACACATTAAATTGCACTGCTTTTATATGGTAATACATTTTTTTTTTGTTCAACGGTAAAAAGTGTCTCACGAGCTTATATGCACCACGACTAATCTCTTCTCCAATCCGATCAAAGATAAGTCATCCACGCTACGACTAGGATATTTATAAAAGATAAATTCCTCATGACTTGACTCTAAAAAATTATCAAGATACTATCTCAAGACATTTAAATTTATAATTCGTTCCGGTTACTATAAAGTGTTTATAGCTATACATTATGGAAGCCGCGGTGGTTGTTTTTTCTTTTCCTTTTTTTTTATTTTTTTGTTTTAGAGCTGATCTTTCAACACCTTGATTATCACAAAATTGACTTTCGAGCTGTTTGAGCATATGTTAAAACCAAACCCACCCCCTGTTTTACCAAGGAAAAAAGCAAAAACTCCTTGCCTAATAGTACGTCCCCATCCTTCTCCTTGACTCTATTTTCCTACCTAGGAATCCAACCCTCTCTTCAAATCCTTGCCGGGAAGACGAAGGAAAATAGTCTTTATCATACTGTTTGTAGTACTGTAATAGATGTCGAACTTGTTACCCCCATTAAATAAGAACGGGCGTGCACAAGAGCTATTCATGGACCCTTTCCTTTCTGTTGTTGCCCGTGCTTTCCCAAACCAAGCCAGAATTTCTGTCAATGGCCAAAATAATTCATCCTATATTTGTGTGCATGCATGGACATGCACTGGTATTGATCAAGTAGTCTTTGTGAGAACTTAAAAAACCAAATAGCACAGGATGCTAACACCTAACAACACCAAATGTGGGAATTAGCGTATAAGAGCTGAAAGAAAACTCACACTGGGGGATCAAATAGAAAATATTATTACTTCAGGGGAGCCAAATAACTATTTATGTAAAATTCTATGGGGAAGAAGCAAAATTTGAGACATGGGCATCCCCAAACCCAAGTATAGTTCTGCCTCAATACTGGTACTGTAGAACCCAAAAGGCCAAAAACATTGGTTTGAATCTGCATTTTTAGGAAAGATTGAATCTTTGACACATATGTATGTAGGCCAAAATTTAATCGCCTTCTGCGCTTCAAAGCTTTCCATGAGCAAATATAGATCAACTAACTAACACATGAAAATGGATGGATCGAGTTGTTGATAGTATTTTAAAGCCACCCAAAGCTTGGAAAGAGAGATGTGGCAGCATGCTCCTGGTAATCTGAGCTTTTTTGTCACTCCCTCAAAACTCGATATGTAAATATCAAGATCCAACAAGTCCCTTGTGCCGAGCATAAGAAATTATTGATAGGAAAAGAGATCCACAAGCAACAGCGGTAAGAATGACCACCTAAATCAGCAAAAAAGAAAAAGATTGTAAAAGCGAACGACGCAGACGTAGACCTAGACAAGTGCTGCTAGTAAATATCTTAGATGACGTGTGTACCCATTTAAATACATGCCCATGGCCTTCCTTCCATTGATAAGGGATATTCATGCCAAATATTGCAGCCACCAGAGAATAGACAGACAAACAAACAGTACCAGAGCTTAAGAAGAGCTCTAGCTGCAACAACAGAGAAACCAGAAAAATGAATCTATTAAATGTACAAAAAAACAGAATGAACCAAGGGGTTTCCGTTTGCATAAATGCTTTATTAGTAACTTGCCTGCAAAGGTTTTTTTACCACTAGTGGGCGACCTCAAAAGCACATTACAGTAAATGATGCAAACCCATAAGAGAGAGGGAGATATAAACAATGAGCAAGATAAAAGATTAATTTAGGTATTGGATGCAGGCATATGGCACCTGAATCAGCTGATTTCGATGATTGTCCAGCTGCAAAAAGGAAAGCAAAATCAGCAAACATAATTCATGTCCAAATTCTTTGACACTCCTCAATTGCCAACAAAAATTATAGGAAAGATCCAGTTTTCAGGGAAAGTAAGATCATAATGAACTCCACAGTCCCCTCAACAGGTGTGTTATATTTGGTTTAACACCAACTGGTCCACATTTGGTTACCTGAATATTGATGTAGTCCTCTGTGTCATCAATGTATTCACGCAACTGGAAACAAAGGATTATACAGTGTGGGCATCAATTTGCCAGCATAAAATAGCTCGAAGAAAAAAAATCAGTATGTTTTGCTTCACTCCATACATATAACTTTTGAAACATCAATATTTTGTCTCCCTTGCTTCCTTTGTTTATGTAGTTAGCTACGTGAGTTAACAAGGATGGTGCATACCACGGTCAGTTTGTTCATCGTGCTCTCAATTTCCATAAAGTATGCCTGCAAAATATACTCGTGGTGAGCACATTGGCTTAGAACTTCAGTTCTTAAAGATTGATTGCAATTAAATCACATTTGCAACCTCAAGCAACATTTCAAGTTCCTCAACATCATTTTCTCCATGGATTGTTCCCACACTTGTCCTACTTACTCTGGAAACCTTCGAGCCTGCTGTAGGAGAGTTTAGAAACCAATTAGACACACCATAACCACTTACAGGAGAAGCAGGCCCAGCCAGTTTCCTTGATAAGTAGAGGTCTGCCATGTCATCATCGTCATCTAGAAGTTGTTCAAGTTCATCTCTTACCTGGATATCATTATGCATCTGAGACTGTAAATCTAACTTTAGAAACCAAAAATCACTTCATTCATGCAATTCATTAACTTCAACAATAACGGTACACCAAGACTTGCACTAGCATGCATTAAAATGTCAAATGTATGAAGTAAAAAAAACATCAGTGTAAGAGGTAGAAATCGCTACGGATCTCATCCCTCCACTTGAAGGATTCCGGCTGACCTGGCGGCACCGAGCTCCAGTAGTCTTTACCTCTCTTCGCCAATAGGACCCTTTCCTAAGGCAATCCCACTATGGAGGACCTCCATAGGAAGTGTTCACTTATATGGCAGGGGGGAGACGACTCTCTTCCGATGTGGGATTGCCTTAGGAAAGGGTCCTATTGGCGAAGAGAGGTAAAGGCTCCTGGGGCTTGGTGCCGCCAGGTCAGCCGGAATCCTTCAAGTGGAGGGATGAGACCCGTAACGATTTCTACCCCTTACATAAAAGGCGCCTTTTTTGTTGGTACAAATTCTTGCATAACTCAAGGATTTCGGCTGACCTGGGTTAACCCCTTGGACGACCCCCCAGTAGCCTTTTACCTCCATCCCACATCGGGTAGGAGTCGTCTCCCCCCTGCCATATAAGTGAACACTTCCTATGGAGGAGGTATCCACTAGCCACTTGATCAGTTGATGGGACATTTCCAAACACTCCAAGATGAAGACACGTGTCCTCGGCATCAATATATTCTTGTTACTGTGATCATGACACGTACTCGTCAGTTCACAAGTCCCTTTTCCCCCGAGGTACTGTTCATAGGGATCAATGACACTCAATACGTTAAGTACCAACACGTATCCCTCGATCGGATATAGGGTACATCGGTCCCTACATGTACCACTCCCTCGGTACCGAGATGTACCCGTACCAAGTTGACTTTTTCTGCTCCTGTAGAGGCTATTGATGTACAGGTCACTAGGTTAAGTTAGGCTAGGCTAGGTTAGCCATTATGACCTCGTCTTACACAATTGGTGTCAGAAGGCACGAGAAGGCAGAAGACACAACCAATGGGGAATGGGCGCGTGGCATATTGTGTCAGATCAGAGACAAAAAGACCGAGATGCCCTTGCTGACACATGACTTGGAAAAGCAAGCATTTAGTGCACCATTCCCTTGATGAGATATCATTTAAAGCAGGAAGGCTCGGAAGTGAAAGGTAATAAATGTCCCTATGATTGGGCATTTATTACATCCTTGCCGAGAGAAGCTCATTAAACATTCGACAGGCCGATGGCGAAGCATTGGTTGCTCAGAGTCCCGAGCAGTTAAGAGAGAAGACATTCCTCATAGGAATCAGTGCACACGTTGCCCGTATCTAATGATCACCTACTGACCACACTGACAACAATCATGAGTTTTTGAGGTATAAGAACTCCTCATAAAAGGCAAGACGGTATGCAACAAAAAACCTTTTCTCAAAGAAATACACAGTATTTTCTCCTTCCCCTCTCTCAAAAAACTGACTTGATCGTCGGAGGGAATACGCCGAAAAACACTCCGGCGCCCTCCTAACTCATTTTTCTCTATTCTAGGAACCTCCCTCAGCCTCATTGGACCGCTCTGTTGATCCACGAAAGTCACCCATTACCGTTCCAGGCCACCACCAGACCTCACAGTCTATTTCAAGCAGCAAGGTTGACCATTCGATTGAGTGACTCGAGTTCACCACGGGGGAGATCTGTTCTCGTGTTTATATTGTCCAAGATCCCGCACGCACAATCTGGCGCCGTCTGTGGGAAACGATTAGTTTTCCTAGTTTCTTCTCTAAAAAGGACAGTGACCATGGTGAATACTCGACACAAGGGGAAAGGTCCCCAGCAAAGAAGTCTCGATTTGCAAGCTCCTCGTCATGATGGAGGGAAAGGTCACGCTAATGACAACAGAAATGTCTCTATTCAGTCTAGGGGACCAATATGGGCATCAGGTCAGGAGAATCTGCCCCCTTGGCTCGTCAACTAGCAGAGGTGATCGAAGAAAAGTTTGGGGATCGATTACGACAATTGAAAAAAGACAATGTGAACGTCCTAAGCAGGCTCAACAAATTTGCCGCCTCCGGCGAAGGGTCGAGGGACTAGTTCCCTTCTCGTGGATTCCCCGCCCGAGAAACAGAAACTGAGGACCTGAGAAATCATTTAAATACCAAGGTTGAAGGCTCCAGGGCCCCGAAACGCCCAAGAGCCAACAAGCACCCCCTCGACGACTATTCCAGGAAGGCAAGGCCTATAGCCCTGGACGACCTCCGGCGAGAGCTGTCAAGTCAGAGGAAGGGAGACGAGTCCGAGGAGGATTCAACCCTTTCCACGCGACGCCCGAAAAAGGGGAACCCCATCAATGAACACGAAGACCTCAGAAGACATCCCGTTGGGGAGGAAATTAATCTCAGAGGTCGGTTGGAATCCAAGAGAAAGGGTAAGGCTATTCAGGATAATATCGAAGACGAGTTCATACAATCACCCTTTACCAGGGATATCGGAGATATGGAGGTTCCAAAAAAGTTCGTTGTGTCGAGGTTCAAAACTTACGATGGTCGGTCCGATCCCGAAGCCCACCTCAGGCAATACAAGCAAATGATGTCCCTGTATCATTTAGACTAACGGTTCCTCTGCCGAGTGTTTTCCATGAGCTTGGGGGACTCTGCGATGAAGTGGTTCGAGGCTCTTCCCCCCAACAGCATTGGATCATGGAAAGAGTTGACGAGGCAGTTCCTAGCCCGATTCATTACGGGGAGTAAGCGGCCTAAAGACGTTGGATCATTACTAACGCTCAGACGAAGGAAATCCGAGATCCTTCACCAGTACGCCACCCGGTACTGGGAAGAGGTTAATGAGGTAGAGGGCTGCTCGAAAGTCATAGCAGCGGCATCTTTCAGGCTCGGCTTGGCAAGGGACACAGACCTGTACCGATCCCTGACCAAAAAAACTCCCTCAGATATGGGCGAGCTAATGGCCCAGATAAACAAATACTCTAGGATCGAGGACGAAATGGGAAGCAACAAAGGCAGAACCCTCCAACCTAAGAGAAAAGAGAGGGAGCGGGAGGATACTTCTCGAAAGGGGCTGCTGCCCCCTCCGGGGGGGTCATTCAAAGGTGTTCAGACTATGTTTAAAGAACCCATCTACAAGTTGCTCCACAAGATCAAGCATGAGTCATTCTTCCAGTGGCCGCCCAAAATGCAGAGCGATCCCTCCACCCGTGATCAAAAGGTCAGGTGTTCCTATCACCGGAATTTCGGCCATCGCACCGAAAGTTGCAGAGTATACAAGTTTTTCTTGGAAAGGTTGGTCCGGGACGGTTACTTAAAAGAATACATAGAATCTAAGTCGGAAGAGAGACACGCCCCCACCCCGGCCGGGGAGCTAGACAACATCATAGACGTGATCCATGTATGTCCATTGGATCGCCTAACGTCCAAGAAACTCGAGTCCGATCTCAAGAGAGTAGCATTTACTAGAAAGATTGCCGAGAGTGATGGGGGGCCATTCAGCAAAAGGACTAGGATTGCCGAGCCGGGCATCACGTTCTTCGACGCGGACTTGGCGGGCGTGGTGACTCCCCATAACGACGCCCTGATAATAACCCTGAACATAGGCAAGTTCAACGTCAAAGAGGTTGTTGGTGGACTCCGGGAGTTCCTCGGAAGTGATGTACTCAGATACTTTAAAGTGGATGGGTTTCGGCCTCAAGGACCTTACCAAGGTCAGGACGCCTCTCGTCGAATTTAACGGCTCATTCGTCTTGCCCATAGGCAAAATTACATTGCCAGTTGTCACGGGTCCCTTCACCATCAATACGGAGTTTATGGTGATCGATACGAACTCTTCCTATAATGTGATCACGGGACGAGCATGGTTGCATGCCCTGGGAGCAGTACACTCCACTTATCACCAAAAATTAAAATTTGCTATGCCAGAAGGGATCAAGCATCCGCGAAGAACTGTTTTTACTCGGCTGTAAGAGCGGGGGTTTTCACCCAAGAGAAGGAGCGCCCTCCGGAAGAGATCCTGGAAAAATAGCAATCACAGTTCGGGCGTCCAGGAATGGATGACCCCCGGATTGACCCAACAGAACGGTCGGTGGAGGACCTCCGAAAGGTGCCCTTGGTGGAGGGAGAAGAGGAAAGGTACTTCTTGGTTGGAACCGCGATGCCCACAGCCGAACAGGAGGAGATGATTGACTTCTTGAGGGAAAATACAGACGTGTTCGCTTGGAATGCAATAGAGATGAAGGGAGTGGATCTCGAAATTATCACCCACAAGCTACATGTTGACCAGGCGCACAAGCCAATAAAGCAGAAGCCACGACGACGCATGGCGCCGCACCACGCCCGAGCGGTCAACGAAAAGATCGATAAACTCCTAGAGGCCAATGCCATCTGGGAGGTACAGTTCCCGGAATGGCTGTCTAACACGGTCTGCGCGAAGAAAAAAGGGGGAAAATGGCGCGTCTGCGTAGACTTCATTGATCTAAACAAGGCATGTCCCAAGGACGACTACCCCCTGCCAAAGGTAGACCAATTAGTAGATGCCACTGCCGGATATCAACGCATGGACTTCTTAGATGCCCAAGCAGGATATCACCAGATCCCTTTCCACCCCCTGGATCAAGAAAAGACGGCGTTTATCACTCCAAGGGGAGTTTACTATTACAAAGTGATGCCGTTTGGGCTGAAGAACGCCGGGACGACATACCAAAGACTGATGAATCGGATGTTCAAAAAACAGATCGGCGACACTTTGTAACAGTAAACTCCCCTTGGAGTGATAAACGCCGTCTTTTCTTGATCCGGGAGGTGGAGAGGGATCTGGTGATATCCTGCTCGGGCATCTAAGAAGTCCATGCGTTGATATCCGGCAGTGGCATCTACTAACTGGTCCACCTTTGACAGGGGGTAGTCATCCTTGGGACATGCCTTGTTTAGATCAGTGAAGTCTACGCAGACGCGCCATTTTCTCCCTTTTTTCTTCGCGCAGACCGTGTTAGACAGCCATTCCGGGAACTGTACCTCCCAGATGGCATTGGCCTCTAGGAGTTTATCGATCTCTTCGTTGACCGCTCGGGCATGGTGCGGCGCCATGCGTCGTGGCTTCTGCTTTATTG